AATTTTTCTAAATTATTATGGCAAATTATTGAACTAATTTAGGTAAATTCCCTTAAATATTAGTGACTTACTTGCAATCGGCTACGATCGCTAATACCGACGTTTTACGATAAATATTCGCGCCTATATTGTCCACCATAATGCCAAAATCAACGAAAGCTTAAAGACCGCGTTGTGTGCTATTGATATAACAACATAGTTAACAATTATTGTGCTATAAGTGAACATTTTGTAGTGCTATAGTTAAGTAATCCAAACTAAATGGAATTTCCCATTGACCCCAATTTATTTTTAAATAATACCAACCCTGCAGGGTACATGTAGTACCGGAACCGCCGTTGTTAATTCGCCTAGGACATAAAGATAAAGGAGTTATAACTTGGAAGAAAATTCCTATGCTGGGATTTTCACTAAAAATATATATAATTTGCCTAAAAACTTAGCTAAAATCTACTTAAAAATTTAAGCAAATTGCCTTAGAAACAGGAAATTTATTCTTTTATTCTCAGGCAATATCCCTTACGATCTAAGGTGTATCATCTTTGAAACCTAAGTAATTTTGCTTAATTAATTGTATCATTTTCTTTAAAAATATTAGTTAAAGAATTCACTAATTTAAAAGGGGAATATTCCTCTGAATTCATTTCAAGCAGTTTGCCTTAAAAAATCAATGGTCCTATATAGTCTAATATTTTAGGTAAAAATTAGCTAAAATTTTGAACAGTGTATACGGAAAAAGCGGCTGGCAAAAAAACTTCTAGGTATCACGCCCAAAGTCTATTTTGGGAAAACAAAAAAAATGTTTAGATTATCATTTAATAAATAATAAATGTATACTAGGGTGGTCCATTTTTGAGAATTTTTGAATTTTCTTGCTCTCAGGGGCTCATAGTGTTCAAAATAAATAAAAAAAAATATTTTCCAAGCTTTAAGTCCCTATCTCAATATTAACTCGCGCCGCGTTTCAGTGTAAGTTTCCTATATAAATAACATAGGGTTTTCGGCATTGAATAATTAATTATTTATTCCGGCCAAAGCAACTGTCTGAAAAATTTTAAACTTGTCAGAATTTAACCTTATAATAGTAGCTATTCCTGAGAATTTTAACAGACTTTTAGTGATTATAATTTTAGAGTTTCAGATAGATGATTTATTTAAATTTAAGAAAATCATTTAGCTGAACATAATTATTATAATTACTGAAAATCTGTACAAAATTCTATGAAAAGCTACTATTATAAGGTTAAATTCTGTCAAGTTTAAATTTTTTTAAACACTTACTGTGCATGACCTGTTTAAAAAATTAATTACCTATTCAAAACCCACGGTATCCAGATAGGAAACTAACATTGTATTGCGGCATGGGATTAAGATAGGAATTTTTTATTTATTTCGAACCCTTTAAGCTCCTGGGAGTATAAAACAATTTTTTTAAATAAGGACCTTCTTTGAATTCGGAAATTTTAATCTTCCACCCATATTTTCAGATAGCAACGTTTATACGAATATTTAATACTATTATGATCTTTCATGTTGGAAAAAATTTGGCAATATAATCTCGCAGCGTACAAAAATATTTGAAACTTGGCAGAATTGAACCTTATAAATTATGAGGTTCAATTCTGTCAAGTTTCAAATTTTTTTCTACGCTGCGAGATTATATTCTTATATATCTTAATGTCAACCCATGCCGCAATGCAATGTTAGTTTCCTATCTGGATAACGTGGTTTTTGAATAGGTAATTAATTTTTCAGGTCACAGTAAGTGTTTAAAAAAATAAAATAAGTTATAACAGTAGCTTTTAAATGATTTTCTTATATTAAAAAAAATCATCTAACTAAACCTCTAAAATAATTATAGCTAAAAATCTGTAAAAATTCTTAGGAATAGCTACTATTACAAGGTTAAATTCTGACAAGTTTAAAAATTTTAATTATTCAATGCCAAAAACCCTGTTATTTATATAGGAAACTTACACTGCAACGTGGCAAGGGTTAATATTGAGATAGGGACTTGAAACTTGGAAAATATTTTGTTTTATTTATTTTAAACACCATGAGCATTGCTCATTGAGCAACTGAGAGCAAGAAAATTCAAAAATTCTCAAAAAAGGACCACCTTAATGTATATCCTTTTATGTACAGGAAAATTTTAAAATTTGTTCTGGTTTTAGACATTTACCGTTCTACAACATCTTTTAAAAGGTTTATATTTTAAAATAAAGGCGTCATTTGAAATAATTGTAACGCTAATAATAATTTCTAATTTGCTATTAATATAACTTATGATAATAACCCCCAAAGCAGACTCAGTATGCGGCGCAGACAACGAATAGCGGAAAGGTGCGGGCAGAAACAATTCGTATAAGTTCACGGCCTTCTTGGTTTAATTTAATAAATCAAAGTATAAACAATTAAATAATAATATTATTTATTTATTTAATTTCATATGTCTCAATTTTTTGTGGGTAATATGTTTTTTTCTTACGCATGTCGAAGCCATGTCGAAGTCATGTCCGCCACGCGCATGTAAGTCAAATTCGTAAATCTCTCCAAAGATAGAAGATTTAGCAAAAAAATGGATAATAGCTTGCCGTAGAGAAGATACAATAAATTTGAAAAATAGTTTGGAACTTATTCTGAATTTCATATTCAAGACTTTAATAATAGTACATTAGATGCACAACTATGTATTTGCAGGATAAGTGATTTTAAGAAAAACATGAAAAACCGCTCATAAGATCATTTTTTAAATAAAATGCAAAAATTGTATAGACGTGCTTTTGCATCATTTTTATTCAAGTAAAAAAAAATCCTTTAAAATTAAGTAGTTTAGTAAATAATTGAAATCAAAAGATTTAAAAACATAGTTTTGCATCTTCCTCGTTCAAAGACCAAGTTTTGCAAGTGAAAAGTGCAAATATCAAAAAATAACAATTAATTAGGTGATTGTTATATCGTCACCTAATGCGTATAATAGCGACGTGATTGGTCAACAGCAAATACCGAGTTTTGCATCTGTATCTGCGTAAAGTTTTTAAATGTATTTTATTCTACAAATATTAACTTATGGATCTGGTTTACTTAGGTATGCTGTAGGCAGAGCAGTACATAAATAGAATAAAATATATATTTTTAAAAAATTTGAAAAAACCGAGTTTTGCATCTGATGTACTCATATGTAGTTAACAACTAAGATTATAAGATTATATAAAAATTAAATATATTTTTTTAATTTAGTTTTTGTTGATTATGTGCTTCAAAAACCCGATTTTGAAAAAATAATCATGGTGTTCCAAATAAAACTTGTACCCCTCCAATCGTTTTTACGGGTGAATGTGGACAACATTTCTTGGACACGTGAATTTTTATTTCTAGGTGGACGAATTTTAATGTACTATTCACGCCCCCACCCGCACCCCTACGCGCTCAACCTTGCCCGTCGTCAAAATCATATGAGTGACATTTTTAAAGGTCTTTTAATTCTTAAAATGTTATAAATATAAATAAATAAATAAGATTCTGTATTTTTTCAAAGTGTTTTTAAGAAAAAATAACTGACAATGCTTTTTTAGCAACTTTTATTTTGAACCTGTCATTTTGACCGTCGTTATTTCGACATCTGTCATTTTGACAGGGCAGCTTTCATTTTGGCAGCTGTCATTTTGGAACCTGTTTTTTGACAGCTGTCATTCAGGCACTTGTCATTTCAACATATGTCATTTGTAATTGTCAACTGTAATTTTGACAGTTGCCATTTTAAACAACGTCTGTACTATTGCATGGAAGTTCTTTGGAATCACTTTGTTGATTTACAATTTTTATGTTTTTCTCTTAATTTTAATATTTAAATAGCAATTTCTCGTAAACTAACTGACAGATTTTTTATAAAAATTACAGAATCTTATTAAGAATTAAAAGACCTTTAAAACGATATGTCACTCAACCCCTGTTGGAACACCCTGTATAGTATATTTTTTAAATATTTAACACAAAAATTGTTGAAATTAAATTAAAAATTGCAAGAAAATTAATTCTATTAAAATCCGGCCATAAATAACGGAGATAAAAACGTTTATCAGCCATTCCAGTGTAACGGATGCTACACTTTGTAGGTACGTTTGGTTTTTATATTGATTTTTGAATTTGCGTAACGGACGCTACAGCGAAAAAAGTGCTGTTTTATAAAAACTATATTTAACATTTTTTCTGCGAAATGAAATAAAGTCACCAAATAATTCTCATATACATATAAAGATACAATAATAATAAGATGGTATGTATATAAAACTTTTATTTGTGGATAGTTATAGATATGGAATTATAGAAAATTTGGCGTAACGGACGCTACGTAATAGACGCTACACATTTTCTTGACAACATTTTTATTACGTGAAACAGTAGAAACAACACAAAACATTTCATTAACATTAATGAACAAAACTAACTTAAAATTAAATTCTTATAATATCATTTTAAACAATAAAGGGCTCACAAGAAGACTTGGCAGTTTTAGCGGTTTGCAAAATATTGTTACTAAGTTTGGAAAAGTGGTGTTTGGACTGTATTCCTTTAATAGATTTGACATTAAGCCATCTTTCATCAAAAAAAGATTTAATATTTTCTATCTGTGCAGCATCTACATAAATTAAATTGGTAGTTGGCAGGTGTTTCTTAGCACATTCGTAAAACTCTGCGGCGTTTACAAGATTTAAATTTTTTGACTTCACCTCCCTCCAAACCGTTCTTTTGACATTGCCACCGATTGCATCTACAGCTCCTTTCCCGTGTGACGTCGCAAAAAAAATCCACTCTAGTGATGGAAGGTCAAAATATGTCTCCAAATAACATAAATTACTAAGAGTAAATCTATTTTTAAATTGGGCCGCACAACCATCAGAGAAAATTAAAATTTTTTGAATAAAATAAGAAACATTAGGAACTTCTTCTTTTAATTTATTAAAAATTTTTTGAAGGTAAATATAAACCGCGTATTTGTCATGGGACAAATAGTCGCTAATGATCGCCAGAGATATTACTTTTTCAGGGGTCCAAATTACACAAGTAAAAAACTTGCTTATGAGACCAATGAGCTGCTTGAATCTCATTTTGATTTGTGAGTGAATAATTCTCAGCAAAGTCAATTTTCATTATAACATTACGGTTTTGAAAATTTTCTTTCTTTTGGTCATCAAAATATTTTTTCTGCACTTTTTTTTTGAGTATTTAAGAATAGATATCTAAGTGGTACCAAGGCAAAATTCAGATCTTCGTCACAGCTTCTCTGTTGGCCATACAGTCCTCGCTATTTACATAACAACAGGCTTTATCTAGCAAATTTCTGCATGTTGATGGCTATGCGGGAATCACTTTATGTAATGCTTCTATTAAAAAACTGAAATTTGCATGATATCTGCACACACAGACATTGTGCGGCATATCAGATGAAAGCAAAACATATTTTGGACGTAATTCATAGAATTTGCTCATTTTTATGTTTTTTCCTGTAAATTCTTTTTTATATAATGCAAACGCCTCTTTTACTGTCATAATTAAGTGTCTTTTTTGTTTAACTTCTCGTTTGCCTGAACTTGCAACCTTTACACTGACGGTATCTCTTTTGCCAGGGGCCTGCCTGCTAATGTCATCTCTGATATAGAACTCCTTGACATGTTCAATGGTCTCAGTATTGCATAAATACTGAATATCACGAGGTTTCTTTTCTTTAATAATGTCCGGAATTTTAACATGGTCCAAATGTTTAAGCTTGATGATGATCGTTTTTTGTTTTTCAAGTGTCTGTTTACAAGTGTACGAGGTGTGTTCAGAAAATAACGGGAATTGTTAAATTTCGCGGGTTCGAAGGGTCTGGTTGTCATAAAATGTTCTTTATTATGTTGGTATACATGCCCCCGAAGTATGATAAAAACTTTAGCTGTTTTCATTGTTTACTTTGTTTGTGGCAGCCGCCAAGGTTAGACGTGGTTTATGAGCTCGGCGATTTTCGTTCGTTAAAAGAAATGGATCAAAGAATTTGAATCCAATTTTCCTTAAAAAATTGAGTCTGCTATAAGTAAAACAAGAGTTTACAAGTGATATAAGAGTTACCAAGATGGCCGTGAAGACGTTGAAGATGACGAACGCCCAGAACGCACAAGCACATTAACAACCGATAAAAACATGGAAAAAGTGGAAAAAATGGTTATAAACCATCAGAGAAGTCGCTGATGATGTTGGTATATCGATTGGCTCATCCCATGAAATTTTTTCAAATGTTTTGAGTATGAAACACGTGGCAGCAAAATTTGTTCCAAAATTATTTTGAACAACATTTTTGGCCAAAAACAATACTGTAATGATGCCCCAGCCTCCATATTCGCCAGACATGCCTCTGTCTGACTTTTTCCTATTCCAAAAAATAAAGAGAACCTTAAAGGACCGTCGTTTTGCAAGCATAGATGACATTAAAAGCGCATCGCTGAAAGAAGTAAAGGCTATTCCAAAGATCGAGTTTTAGAAGTGTTTCGTGTATTGGAAGAAGAGCTGGCACATGTGCATAATATCCAATGGGGACTATTTTGAAGGCGACAACATTAATGTAGACGAATAAATAGGTATTTGTTTTAAAAAACGAAAATTCCCGATATTTTCTGAACACACCTCGTATGGCCAAAGAATGTTTTTGTCATTTTTGTTTTTTTCCCTTACATGTTGCTTAATTTTTTCTATGTACTGTCGCATTCCCTCCGTTTGTTTACGTTTTGCAATGTTTTTTTGTTCTCCCGTCATTATTATTTTCCTTACGGCTCGTTCTTCCCTTTTCCGTTCGGCATCTTTCTGCAACAACTGGTCTTTAAGTTCTTTGATTTCATTAATTTTTGGTCTGTATCGAAGCATGCGTTCTTTTGCGGTCGCATCTTTTGCTTTTATACCTGCAAAAAAAATAGTTATGGTTATTTTTGTATATTACTTTATACTATATACGTTATACTTAATGTGCCAAAAAAATCGGTCCCACATTAGGGGGGTGAGGGGGACAAATATGACCAAAAATACAAAAACTAAATAAAATATTAAATTGGGTGTAAAAGTGTGGGCTTTCGTGATATAAATAAAGCAAACTACATTTTTTGACCATAAATGTAGTTTAATTATAACTTTGGACGTAACGGACGCTACATGTTTTTACCTGTATTTTAAAGATCAGGTGTAGAGTTTACAACCAAATTATTGCAATAAAAAATTGCTACAGATGGCAAAACAATTTAAAACTAAATAATAAGAAGTAATACCCAGGTAGCACAACGTAACGAAATCTTGACGTAAACGAAACGTTTTCAGTCAGTCGTGACTTGGACGATATTTAAAAATCGTAACGTATTTAATTAAAAACAGTTGCCAAACCGCGCTAAATTTAAGCATAGTTTTTGTGACGAATACGTTACATTAATATGAATAAAAATCTTCACGATGTAGTTAAGAATACGCCACGGATTCTTCACGATTTGTCACGGTTTCGTCACGGCGCTTCGTTACCGAATAGTGAACTGAACTGGTCACGTAATTGTGGCGTATAGTTGCATTATTTGGGGGTGTAATAATATTGTGCAGTGTAATGCAGTGCAGTACGGTATAGTGGGTTGTTTTGTGTATTGTGGAATTATTGCTTACCTTCAAAGTTTTGTAATTTGATTTCAACCTCATCATCAGGTTGAAATCAAATTACAAAACTTTGAAGGTAAGCAATAATTCCACAATACACAAAACAACCCACTATACCGTACTGCACTGCATTACACTACACAATATTATTACATCCCCAAATAATAACATATTGTTGTTAGGATTGTTTAGTTTTGCAATGTTAATGCAAAGAAAGCACATTTAACTGAATTATATTTTATTAGAAAAACAATAAAAACATATTCTACAATAAACTATAATAATATATATTATATGTATATATATATAGAAAAACACTAACAAAATAAAAAAATATTCCTCTTATAAAATAAAAATACCTCCACTTTTGAAAACCAGCAATAATTGCAATTAGTTTTCAAATTTCATCTTTGAAAAAAAAAATTAAATTATTTTTCTATTAATATAAGGATAAAACAGTACACAAAAATATAATTCTCCTGTAGAATAAAACACTATTTTATTAGAATATACCTAATATAAAAAACAGTATAACAAAATAAACAAGTATACTCTATTTCTCTTATAAATTAAAAAATGAAATAAATGAAGTCAATTAATAATTCATCTAGTATAAAATTTTTATTTTATTTCTGCAGTTTAACTGCAACATTTATTTATAATAAACATTTATTTATAATAAACTTACTTAAATAACACTAGGGTTCAGCTGAAGTACAAACCTGTGATTTCATCTTATCATATGTATGCTGGAAGGCATACATAATGTGCTTTTCAACGTCATCCTTTGTAATATTTCTTTCCCCCGAGACAACCCAAGACCATCAATATGTCTTTTAGTCTAAAGTTTTCGTTCGTCCCTATAGGATATATCCAGTTGTGTGGAGTGTGTCCAGAGTGTCGACTGTAAAACAGTCTATGTTATGTTGGTTACCAATTTTTTAATTTTAATTGCAATCATGACCTGCAAAATGATCATAAGAAATAAGCAGTTTTCTTCATGGCTTTGTTAAAATTTATTTCACGTACAAAAAAATGTATTTTTTCCTCTTTCAGTAGAAATTCAACTTAAAATACTTAAGCTATAATAATAAATTTGTTAAGGATATATTAATACACTAAAAATGTTGTGGTTACTTATATTTTGTTGCTACAGCAAAACATTTCTTAGATTAGAGTGTGGAGTTGTTTAGCATTGCAGACAATTGTCTTAAGCTACTGAAATATAGAAAAGCAAAAGTACTTACGGTTTTAAACTATCCTTTTGTTTACCATTAAAAACTTTGCAGAAATATAGAAAAACCTACAGAAACCAATGGCTTGGGTCGTTACCAAACATTCAAAATGGAGATCCTACTTTATCTCTGATGATGATGGAGATGCACAGAACATATGACTATTGGCGACTGCGCATTGGTGTCACGACTTTACATGATGTTTTCGTGACGATTTGTATAAATATTTTGTAACGTTTTTGTAACGAGCTGCACGTCAAGAATTTTATACCAAAATTTAAAGTAAAATTATCACTATTTCGTGTGACTAACGACTTTATGAAAAAATTCGTCACGTATTTTCATAGACCCCTCGTCACGAATTTGGCGTCACGCAATTTATTTACTTTTTATTAAAATTTCCTTAATCGTAACGAAATATTGTCTCGTTTTCGTCACTTCTAATTTTTAATGTCACGTTGTGCTACCTGGGTACTTACCCATTTTTTACAAAATTTTAACACAAAACTTTCAAAAACATTCGTCGTCAGATGAAAAAAAATATGACGTCTGTCAATTAACTTTATTTAGCCAGCACGGCCTATTTCCTTTATTGTAAATTGCTTGGTATACTTCTGTGGGTAAAAGGCATAAGGGGATAAGTCAAAAAAAGCAAATTTTCGGTAGAGACTTAAACGTGTTCGCATTAATTCACGAAATATATTTATGGTTAGCGAGTAGGTATACCCTTTTGCTAGCATATGACATGCAGTGGCGTAGCTAGGCGTAGGCGAAGTGGGCCCTCGCCCACGGCCTCGCACTTAAAGGGGCCTCGCGAGGCCTCTTTAAATGCGATGCCATCAATAAATATTCAAAATTGTAGAGGCCAAGGCTACGATAATGGCGCCAATATGGTCGGCATTAACAAAGGAGTAAAATCAAGAATATTAACTATCAATCCACGAGCATTCTTCACTCCTTGTGGTTGCCACAGTTGGGCATTAACAAAGGAGTAAAATCAAGAATATTAACTATCAATCCACGAGCATTCTTCACTCCTTGTGGTTGCCACAGTTGAAATCTCATTTTAGTAGATGCAGCCAACATATCATCCATCGCAAAAGTGTTCTTTGGTTTCATCCAAAAAATATATGTCCTTTTTTCCAAATCCAGCAAGAGATTGGAATTAGTAAAGGATAAATTGAAAATAACCTTAAAATCGTTGTCTGATACAAGATGGGAAAGCCGAAGTGCTTCAGTGAAAGCTATATTATTTCAGTTTGATGATATTATCGATTGTATAAATAATCTGGAAAATCAATCTGAAGATGTAGACACTCTTTGCGATTGCCAAGCAATTGTAACTGAAATGCTAACTCTGGAATTTATTATCTCGATACACGTGTGGTACGAAATATTAAACCGCGTCAATAACATAAGTAAGATCTGGCAAAAAGTCGATATAAATTTAAAAGTTGCTATTGACAATTTGCGCAATTTTTGTGGCTGGATCCACAAATTTCGGGAAACAGGCTTTAATGAATGTACTGCAAAAGCCTACAAATTCATAGAAACGAGCAGTTGTGAGATTCCAATGACTTTTAAAGAGAAAAGGATTCGCAAGAAAAAGAAAATGTTTAATTATGAAGCTGTAGATGAGCCTATTGATTCCGCTGAAAGTAGATTTAGAATTGATTTTTTATTACAATGGTTGACGCCGTGATACAGGACATTAACACAAGATTTATTGCACTCACTGAATATTACAACAATTTTGGATTCTTGTACGACATAAATAATTTAAAATCTTTGCCAAATAACGAGCTTTTAAAGCACTGTAATGATTTAGGTATAGTACTTCAAGATGGAGAAAGCAAAGACATAGAATGTTATGAGCTTTACGAAGAACTACAACTTTTAGTGCCTAATCTACCAAACTCCATTGGAGACGCCAATCAAATGATTCAATACATAATTACAAATAAACTGGAAGACATACCTATATCCTAATGTTTACATTGCTATTAGAATTATGTTGACTATGCCTGTAAGTACAGCTTTCGCAGAAATAAGTTTTTCTAAGTTAAAAATTATTAAAAACTACTTAGGAAACAATATGAAGCAGGACCGACTGTCTGGTTTAGCAATTACTTTCAATCGAAGCAGATTTAGCTGCAAAAATTAATTACAAATCCATATTAGAGAACTTCAGTAAAGCAAAAAGCCGAAGAACATTATTTTTGTAAAAAAATAAATTACTCAAGTTACAAAACAAAAACCTTTTTTCAAATCTATATGCTTTTTAATATTCTCCCACCGCGCATTTATATTTTTTCACTATCATAAGTAGGTATGTCGTGTAAGAGCATGTTTGGTAAGATAGATTTATTGGTTAGATCTTGGGAACGAAAGAAAAGGGGCCTCGCTGATGCGACTTCGCCCACGTCTATATTAGTCCACGCTACGCCACTGATGACATGTGCTGGCAAAAGGGTATTCCCGCTAACCATAAATGTATTTCCTAAATAATGCGAACACGTTTAAGGCACTGCTAAAAAATTCATATTTTTGACTTATCCCCTTATGTCTTTTACCCACAGACTTACGTAGACATAAAAAAGGGTTGGGGTATCCCGCAGTTAAAATATTTGGAAAAGTTAGTTTAATTTTATAATTATTATAGTACTTATTATACCACTAGTAACCATTTTAGTAATTTTGCGCGACACAATGGAAAACTTTAGTTTTTATTCATTGGTGGACTTTTCACTGGAATGGCTGTTATGTAAAAACAAAAAAAGTTCGATAATTCGAAAACAAGACTAAATAAAAATATTTATTTAAGAAAAACTGTTCTACAACCTCTATTACGTCAATTTTAAATAAAAACACCCTGTGTTTATAACTTTTACTTCTATTATTTTAAAAATAATATCCAAAACAAAAAACAATAGGTACCTAATTATTTTATTTGCGCTGCATATATAGTTTTTAAAATACATTGGCACAATAATAAAATAGAAATACTTAAAAATACTACCTCAAAACAATTTTCTCTCACAATCTGTTTTAATAAATCGGTAGTCATAATTGTAAATTTAATAAAACGCGAACTCGCTCGGAGCGCGGCGCTCCCCAAAATTACATTACTTTACATTGGAAGTTCCAATTTGGAAAAAGTGGATATCTTTGACGAGCGTGACGTCATACGGAGCGAGAGAGACAGTGCTACCATGCGCAATGGCATACCATGTTTCCTTGTATTATGATGTAAACATACAAAATAATCTGCATTTTTATCAAATTTCTTCGCTACTATATTTTGAGTTACCATCACCATCTTTTGTTTTTATAATGGTCCCTATAACTTATGTAGTTTGATACCTCGTTGGATTTCTTGATTAATTTCTATCTTAACATGTATATTTTCAATATGGCGACCATAGAAAAAATAAAAGTAGTGGTAGTCACTTAAAATCTAGTAGACGAAAAATATCACAAATCGGATAAAAATGTAGATAAATGTAAATATTTACATATGAAACTTACTTTTTCCCATTTTTATATAGAGTTGTAATTACGCAACCTTTGTCTAATTTAGCCGACCTCGTAGCTCTTCAAATAAAAAAAGATATCTACCCATACATTAAAAAAAATTGGTGAACCCTGTTTAAATCTGGGTCTGGTGATGAAAACAAAATATACATGTATATTTTGCAACGCATCTACAGCGACTTAAAGTTAACATAATTGGTAGATGTAGGTACTATCTAAAAGTTTAGAAAACGCAATCTTAAAATCATCATAACTTTGTTATTATTAACAACTTTCTATTTATGTAACGTCATGATGAAATTGTGTTTAATCCTTTTATCCATATTTAAACAAAATAGAGAAAATAAAATTCAATTTTAGTTGAAACTATTTGTCCTCAAGAGTTTTTTAATTTGTGCATGCTTAAAAAAATTCGGTTATCAAATAATTATGTGCATCTACCTGGTAAGGTAAGGTAACCCAGGTAACACACGGACGTTTGCTGACGTTTATATGACGTCTTATAAACGTCAGTAGACGTCAGTGTGCTACCTGGGAAGGTATATATATAATAATACAATATAAAACAGAAAATTTATTTTTAATATAACTTATTATTATTATATCTGCTTATCTTTTTTAATGCTGGACGCAAGTTCGGTGAACCTGGTGGAGAGTAATCTGGAGATGGGATGTATGGTGGTTCGATATCATAATATAAATCCAAATTTGAATTAAGATAATAATTTTTTGATTCGGCTTCTATCCAATCATCAGGAGGCCTAAAAATCATACATAGGTTATTTTTGGAGTAGGACATTTTGTACAAACAGATCTTTAATTTTTGGACCTATTATAGAACATTATGTAATTAACAGAGGGGCGATTGCAAGCGCAATGTAATTTTTTAAATCAGTTTTAAGCAGGGCACAATGAAACAAAAATATACCAAAGTTATTCATTAATGGTGAAATTAGTTGAAAAAACTAAAAATGTTTATCTCAGGTCAAAAATAAGCGATTTCCGATGTTAAAATTTATATGCAACGTAGCATTTTATCAAGGTGGCTTTGACCTATAACAGTAAGTGACGTTTCCGAAAACGTCAGTTTTGATTAGACGCCACTATTGAAAATATTCCTGAATTTTTTTTTGCAAGTAAGTAAACTGTTATAGAAATTTTAATTTATAATATTATTGTATATTTGAGGAGCGTTTATTCAAAAAGGGACATGTCCATTTTAGCGATTTTCAGAAATAAGTCAAAAGCAAAAGAATTCTGTTATTTTTGACTTGTTTCTGCAAATCGCTAAAATGGACATGTCCCTTTTTGAATAAACGCTCCTCATTTGTCCCATCAGTAACGAAATAATATGATAAGTTTTAATATGCAAGTATGCAACTTGCCCAGTTTTTAATTATTAATAAAAATGTTTGTCCCTATCTCACATTTGCTTACGCAATAAAAATATATTGGTTTGCTCTCCCAGATTTTTGTATTTCTTTCTTTTAAAGTTGGTCCCGTCAGTAACGAAATGTGATAATTTTTAGGATGGCAAAAAATAACGTGCTTGACAAAGAAAATATGAAGCGGCGGGTTAAAAAATATCGAAAAAAAAATTTATGAAAATCCTGTTTTAAAAAAGACTTACCTGTCTTAAAATGCTTCAAGCGCAAAAAAGTACAGAGAAAAATTAAAAAAGTTGGCGGAAAATGATAGTACGTTTAAAATGCAGCAAAAAATTAATGAAAGAGAAAGAAAAAAAAGTTTAGAGAAAATAAAAAGCAGCAAATTGTTAAGAATATACCCTTTAAAACTCCACAAACTTTAGGAAAAGCTGTAAGAAGGGCAGACACGATGATGCCAAAAGAGAAAAACAAAAAAATTTGTGTTTTGACAAAAATATTAGAATCATTAGATCCAAACTTAAAAGTTCAGAATATAGGAAAGACAGAAATAATAACAACAATGAATCCGTGAAACAAATTGTCCCCAGAAATAGTTGAAAAAGTGAAAAGTTTTTATCTCAAAGAGGATATAAGTAGAGTTTCTCCTGGATTAAAAGATCGTGTGAAAATAAAGACAAATGGATCTATTATTGAATATGCTCAAAAACGGCACATGGTCTACACAATTAAAGAGGCGTACATAATTTTCCAAGAAGAAAATCCCGAAACGAAAATTCAAATACGCAAATTTTATGAGTTAAGGCCTGCGTTCGTTTTGCCAATCAGTGACACTCCTCACAACGTTTGTGTTTGCAAATATCATTCAAACATTTTATTTATTTTGGAAGCGTTTAGCAAACGCTTTAAAGCATTTCCGGATGATCATAAAAAGCTGATTTCTGAGATAACCTGTGACGTCGAAAGAGAAAATTGAATGATGAATGAATGTCCGGAGTGCAAAGAAATTGATATATTATTTTCCTGTTTACCTTTGCAATACAACCCAGAAGAGCCCATGCAAATCAAACAGTGGTCCACTATCGATCGCAAAACAAAAACCATAATTCTGCTTGAAACAATCGAATCAGCAATTGAAATGTTGGAAAAACAGATGACACCATTTCGAAAACATCATTTTGTGAAAAACCTTCAGCAAAAATACTTTGATTTCAAGAGAAAAAACATTGAAATAGGTGACGTCATTTTGCAGATCGATTTTGCCGAAAATTTCCAACTAATTGCACAAGATGAGATACAGAGTGCTCATTGGCAACATGAGCAAGTGACAATTTTTACTGCGGTGGCGTGGCTAGCTGAAAAAGTATATTCTTTTTCTATCATCAGCAATTATCTGGTTCACGACAAATATGCCGTTTATGTGTTCCTGAAGAAAATAATATCTTGGATTGATCTTTCTGGTTATAAAGTAAAAGACCTTAGCGTATTTAGCGATGGGTGTGCCGCCCAATTTAAAAACAGGTTCACCTTATATTGGCTTTATGTTTTTTACCAGAAGAATTAAATATCACAAGTATGGAGTGGAGTTTCTTTGCAACTTCACATGGGAAAGGAGCTGTTGACGGTGTTGGCGCAACTGTGACAAGAAAGGTATGTAGGTAAACGAAAAACAAATAAATATATTTACTGTCTAAAATAACTGACGGTTTTTTGGTTTTCTTACCCAGTAAACATTTGTGATTGCGTATTGAAATCACTCCGAAATCTCGTCTTGAAATCGTGATATCACTGACGCATTCATATGTTTCCACAATACACAATCAATGGGATATCAAGTCGTGACATTCAAGCGCAATACGCACTCAATGGGATATCACTCCGTGACATTGCTAGCGCGCATGCGCGAGCGAAAGTGCAGGGGAATATTTAAAACATGTTGGAGCTCTGATAAACGAAAAAAGCGTCGTCGCTATCGTTTATTGCGATGTAACGTCTTTTAAAACACGTTGCATCGCTAGTAACAATAGCGACGACCCTCTTATCGTATATCACAGCTTCAACAAACTTGCGGCCTTGGGTGAAATAAAATTATGGGCTAAAATATTAACAGTCAACATTTATTTAAATAAAATAATAATAAGACAAGTTTTGCACACTACCTTTATACAGGGTGCATCAAGTATCCTCCCAGCAAACACACTATTCCGGCCATGCCAGGCCCATTAATGTGCCATTGCATGGCCGGACTAGTGTGTTTGCTGGGCTATAAGTATAATACCTACATGTATACAGGGTGTCGCAGATTTTAATTGGGAAAATTTAGTGATCTATAGAAATCGAAAATATCAGAAGAAAAGTATTTATGTTTTAAAGCTTCGTTTTCGAGAGGCAGGGTGGTAAAGTTATTAAAAAAAATATTTATTTTTTGGGCGAATTTGATAAAACCTTTTAGGTTTTTAGTAGTAGGCAAAGGGCTTAATTTAATGTAAATTAAATTTAGTTAATCCAGAGGCGGCGCTGAAACATCCCAAATAGTTATTTAAAATAAAATTTTTGATTATGATACTGCTTTTTTTTAAGTTTATTATTATTTATAAATTAAAAATAAAACGGAAACGAATTTAATTTTTTTCTTCGCTTGCAAAATCGCAAACAAATATAAAGTGAAGTTATATATTTTTGGGGAAATAATTGTTTAAAAGCATTAACCTATAACGTGTCTAACAATAATAACATAATAGGTACGTAATTAACGTTTTATGACCAAATTAAAGTAATGTCATTTAAATGAAAAGTTTCGTCCCTGCGGGGTCACGTCGTGACATAAAAAGATCACGCGCGTGTCACTGCTGACATAAAACGACAAACTTAATCACTGTGCCAGCAATTGGATATCAAGTTGTGACATGTCACGTCTTGACTTTTTCGTGATATCACAAATGTTTACTGGGTGCTGACATAAAACGACAAACTTAATCACTGTGCCAGCAATTGGATATCAAGTTGTGACATGTCACATCTTGACTTTTTCGTGATATCACAAATGTTTACTGGGTAATAGCTGCGTTTCCTAATTTTTGCTAACAATTAGGGTATAAATTTTGCCGCACAAGTGTAATAAGTTTTAAGATACCAAAAATGAAAAACTATTTTAGGTGTGGAATAAGATCAAGAGCAGAAGAGTGACTGTCAACAGTGCAACCGATTTTTTCAACTGTGCAAAAGTTCTGAAAATTATTACTAATATATACGTAAAGAATGAGGAAATTGAACAAATCAAGACACAATTAGATGCCAAATGGTCAGGTATTTCAGCAATACCCGAGATATTAAGTTCACACTATTTTAAGTTTGTTGATGGTACTCATATGTGGATTAAGAAGCACTATGAATCCGAAAAATCAAATTTGTTCAAATGCTTTTAAATTTTTTGCAGTTGTTATTATCATGTTAAAATTATTGTTGAAGTTATTTAGTTAAATTAACCAATTACACATTTGTTTCAGTGTATAATAAATAATAATAATAAATGTCCCATCAGTAATGTGCCGTCATGTATACACATTTGGTGCTGGTGACAATAAATTTTAGTACACTTCATTATATGAAGTTTATAGTGTTATTTATAAGGAATTTTATATTACTAATTTAAATTATTTTTTAAGCATATCGATGGTTTTTTGACAAAACATCGTAAGCGACAAAACCTAAATTTTACAGGAGATATTTTTTTTGTGTGGGAGCTTTATTTTTAAAGTTATTTATCTGAAAAGTGGTGAGGCATTATTTTATTAATGTAGAATTCAAATATTTAAGTAAGATCAAATCCAATCTAAAATTTTCATTAAATTTTGTTGCATACGATATTTTATAAGAACATCTTTAGAAAAATGTAAAATTAGTCTTGTCGCTTAAGTTACATATATGTTACTTTGTGGGATATAGATTTGATGATTACTTTTGTCGAAACATTGTTAGCGACATTTATTTTTTTACTTTTATTATTAAATAAAAAAAATTACAAAAAATTAATTTATAAAATTTCACCAACGATATTTTGCCAATGTTTAAAAATAAAATTCTACATTAGCTTTTTTTGAAAAAAACACAAACCAGTATTTAACCCATGGAGCCTACACAAGGAGCCCGAACTTAATAGGGAAAATTGACAAAACCTGCCCTCTAAATTGTACAAATTAAGTTTATTTTTTTCACCACCAGCGGCGCTGATTGTCGATGCGCCCTCTTATCTTAGGAAGATTCTTATTTATTTATTTACATGATGTTCGGACTTCTTGTGTGGGCTCCATGATCTAACCCATGATACCATCATCTAACCGTTATAAATTTGAGTCAAATTATTTGACGCTAGAACAACGTACAATTACTACAAAAAACACTTTTAACGAACTACACTGCGTACAAACAATTATAATTAGTAGAACTTTTAATAATGCAATAAAAAAAGGAAATATAAGCTTTTGGTCAAATAAAATATTGTTTTAAAACTTGGTAGCAATCACCATGATGCAGGTATACTCACAAATAAACTGTTAAGAGCGGGAATAATGCCTTGATAGATCAAGGCGGGAGCACAATATTATCGTAAGCGACACAATGTTAAATCGCAAACGCCATGTCTCGGAGTTGCTTACGATTATTTGTCGGGAACATATAGGTGCTTACGTTATAAATCGGTAACAAATTAAAAAAAGAGGCGCTTACAATAATAAAAATATTCAAACTGACCAATATTAGATTCCAAAATTGGGATAACTATTATGTTAACATGTGCAGCTCATCGTAACTGACACTATGATAAAATAAAAAGTAATTCAACAAAATTGTCGATTACGATGTTTTGTCAAATAACCATCGATATAACACTTTTTTATACTCGCATGCTTACTTTGCGCAAATGCGTTAATACAGGAACATACATTTAATAGTATTTTTAATTAAAAACAAAAAATATTACTTAAATAATTCAATAACAATATATTTAGCAACTTTCTGCACGCTTGTAAAAACAATTAAGTTAAAAATTAACACTGATAAAGAAAATTGCAAGATTCCCCTGCTTGTAAAAAAAATATTGCGCAAGTACTATAGTACGCTGATTTTTGACTCTTGAATTTATTCTATAGTGACCTTTAATTTTTATAACTATAGTTACCTACAGGAGGTAATAACCACACTGATTTCAAGCTAAATGCGATAGATCATGGGTAACTATGTAATTTTAATGTATTTTCATTGTTGTTATTTACCTTATATCTACTTTTTTACTTATACCATGGTCAGGGCCGGATTAAGAGTTTTGGGGCCCTGGGGCCGACATTTGGTGGGAGCCCTCAATATTTCAAAAAAAAATTGACACTTTAAAACTCATGGTAAACTTTTAAGCTAGAGGAACTTTACGTGATTTTTTATTATCCTTGAATCATTTATTATTTAATAAACCATATAAATTTTTAATAAAATCGGCCAAAACTAATTTTTTTTAAACGAAAAACCCTGTATCTCGATAATGAAGCTTTTTCGGACACGTGTTTATAGGAACTTTTTTTCATATTTTGATGAATTTCCACTGAGCTTTTGTCACCACAAGTCTGAATCACCCTGTATATTTTGAATAATACGAACATAACCATACATTTTACCCAAGTCTGAGAAATTATAAATTCGTATGCAAAACTATAAAAACGTAGATAGTAGAATAGAATTGTGAATGAAAGTGTTTGTATATACTTTATATTTTATATATTTTGAATAATACGAACATAACCTCAAGTAAAATATAAATTGATGTATGTTTTGTTTGTATTTTTAATACTTTTCGCAAACTGAAAAGAAAGTGCATCAAAAGTCGTATTATTTGTCTGTTTTTCATACAAAATCATCAATAATAAAAAAATGTTTTGTCCAAAGAAAAGAACGAAACATTATTTCGGAAACACCGGAAAATATTCCACAACACTCCAATGTACCAATAAAAATCTGGGACAAAAACTAACTTTAATATTATATTAGGTATAAGTAATCGACTGTTTGCCTGTATTTACAAAAAAGTTACGAAAAGCACTAAAGGAGCAATTGTTTTGAGTCATAACTTATGACTATAAACTACATAAAAACGTCTTCGCGCGCCAAAACTTTGAGTGTGATAGTTAGATCTACGAAAAATTAAAGAATTCGCGCGGTATAACCGACCCAATTTTTTATTTTTTTGATAATTTTTTTCATATTCGTTTCATTAAAAAGCTACATATTGCATTGGTGGGGGCCCCTAAATGGTGGGGGCCCTTGGGCCGTGGCCCCACTGGCCCTGTCCTAAATCCGGCCCTGACCATGGTATACCATGGGATAGCATGGTATCCCCGATATAATAGCCAATTCTTATGTTAAGTTGTCCCCTTATCCGAAATTTCTGTCCAAAATTATAAAAGTAGAGCAGTTTTTGAGATAAGTATAGTGAATTCCATATTATATGGAAAATTGACTGTTTTAGTTTTATAACTTTTGACGACATTTTGCTATCCCATGGTATACCATAATATGCCATGGTATACCATGGTATAAGTGAAAAAGCAGCCACTAATATCTGTAATAATTAATCATTTTTAGAGAGTAAGAATAATGCTTATCTTGTTAGCCTTTTTAATGTATTCTGCATCTAAAAATGTGAATCCCTTTCGTATGGTTCTTACAGAAGCTCATAGCATTTTTAAGTGTTATTTTTGCTGAATCCGAGTTCCCTGGAATACGATGTACATGTGTGCTCCCTTTCGGACAATTTTTTACCAGTCTGTATTATTATAAATCAATTTTAATCAATTATAAATCAATATTTCTTTATTAAATGTGTGTAAAATAATACCTACTATAATATGAAAATATTTGCTCATCAAAATATAAGATCAATAAGAAATAAATTTTAAGGAACACATAATTCAAATGTCTTATGATATAATTGGGGTGAAGGAAACTTGGTTGGATGAAATTATAAATAATAATTTTACAAATATTGAGGGCTACACATTTTATCGAAAGGATCTACCACATAGACGAGGCGTTGTTGATATGTATGTAAATAGTAATATAGATAAATCATCTTTAATTTCTCGTGAGTGTAATGTTTATATTAAGTAAATCTGGATAAAACTTTAAACATGGAGTAAAACACTCGCAGTTGGTTGTGTATACAGGCCACCCAATACCAACGTAAATGAATTTTTAAGATGTTTAAATGATATACTTATAGATTTGTATATTACCTTTGGTGATATGAACATTAATATGTTAAATGATAACTCTAACACAAAAAATCTGCTAAATATTACTGACACATTATCTCTTCCACAAGTTATCCAGGAACCAACTCGATTGACAGCAACTACTTCTTTAATTATAGATTTATATTTTCTTAACAAATCTTTGCTTACATTATCATCCTGCATTAACTTTAATAAGGATTTGCACCCACAGCCTATAAAAATTACTTCCAGAAACTTAAAAAAAAATATTAATTTGGATATTTTTCATTATGACTTAAGATTGATTGATTGGCATTATCTATACACAACACCTAACATAGAAGATAAAATTGAGTATTTTAATTCATCTGTGATAAATTTAATTGATTTTCATGTTGCCCTTATAACTAAAAAAATTAAAAACCCAAAAAACATGTACCTTGGATAACTGATAATATAAAGTTTATGCAAAAGTTACGTTTAAGTAAATTCGGAACATCGAAAAACCCCGGGCACTGGAACTATTACAAACTACTGAGAAATTTTACAACAACCGCTATTAATAATGAAAAAAAGCCTACTTAAAACACAAATTCGAAAATTCGAATGTACGCGAACGTTGGCGGGAGCTAAATAAATTAAATATCGGTTCTAAAAACCCTGCTAATATTCCACAGCCTCTTAAAAATGTAAATGCATTTTGCTCAAATGCAAGTTCCATTTCATCCAAGAAAAGAGGTTCTGGAATTTTATCAGGAACACACTAAATTTGATTTTCCTGAACTATTTAAATTCAGTTTAATTAGTGAAGAGGAAATTTATAAACTATTGTTTTCCATTAAGACAAAAGCCTTCGGAGTGGACAAATTGAACATCACTTTGATATTAATGTGTTGCCCAATAATATTACCTGTTATAACACATATAATAAATTGTTGTGTTCAATGTTAATACTTCCCCAAGGCATGGAAGGAGGCTATGTTAATACCGCTGCCTAAAAATATCCAACCTGCATCTTTGAACGAATTTCGGTCTATTAGCATTCTTCCGATACTATCTAAAGTTCTAGAGAAGGTTATGGAAATGCAACTTTTGCAGCTTTTTTAGAAAACTATAATATATTACCGGAAAGGAATGTGATGATAGTAAGGTTAGTGTTTTGGTATTAATTGATTATTCTAAGGCCTTTGATATGATTAACCATGAAATATTGTTGACAATTTTGCATTACATAGGGCTTCACAAATCATCAATACAGTTTATCAGATCCTTCTTAAAAGACAGGGTGCAGTGGGTTAAAATTGAAGATGTACTATCTGAGCCATTCTTATCACTTGGGATTCCACAAGGAAGCATTTTGGGTTCTCTACTTTACACAGTAGCGTGCCAATACCACACATATGCAGATGATACGCAAGTATACCATTCTTTTAAATTATCTGAGATAGATAATGCATGTGCTTTAATAAATAAAGATCTAGAAATCTCATGATCTATTGCGGATAAACCCTGATAAATCCTCAGTAATCATATTTGCAAAAAAAAATATTAAAGGGGAGGTAAAGGCTCGGCTTCGTATTAGGTTGGATGGTGGGCCTGTTAAAGTGGTGGACCAAGTTAAGAATCTTGATGTTATCTTTGGTAATCAATTGCGATTTACTGGACATGTTAATAACATACTTAAAAAAAGTTACTCTGGGTTAAAACAAATATATCCACATAGGATAAATAGAAATTGTTAAAATGAAATTGTTAAAATAAGAAAGTGTTGTCATCTACTATTAATAGAAGAACAGATTCTGTTTACGGAAATCGGAGCAAGTCTCTTTTGTCCAATAATATGTAACTAAAATTTTTTTATTTGTCATTTTTTGTATTTTTGTGGGCAATAAATGATTTATTATTATTATTATTATTATTATAAATAGGCAGAATTGCGGATACTGGGCAGAAGAAAACCCCAACTGGATGCCACAAAGTCCCCCATTGTTGGGATCTATTTTCATTGAAAATCTTAACGGGGCAAGATATCTGGAAATGCCAAGAGAACAAGTTGTCCCAAATTTCGCAGAGTTGTTTTTAAATCTATTGGAACCTAATCTTCCCAATGAAAGGATATGGCTTTAACAAGATTCACAAGGTTCATCACCTCACTATGCTTTTTCTGTACGGAATCATTTAAATGACACCTTTCCACACAGGTGAATCGGAAGAAAAAGTTTCATAGAATGGTCAGCAAGATCACCAGATTTAACACCTTTAGACTTTTTCCTATGGGGACATATAACAAACAGGGTGTTTAAAACAACCTGCTAATTTAGATAAATTAAAAAACAAAATAAGTGCAGAAATTAGGAATATAACACTGGAGGTTTTAAACAGAGTGCGAGAACAATTTCACAGTAGATTACTTAAGTGTCAGGAAGTGAGCGGGGGACATTTTGAATATTTATAAGATTGAAAAACAGTTTATTTTTGTTTTTTAAATAATTTTAATATTTTCACCCTGTATTCAAAACTATGTTTACTAAACCCTACTATATTCGATCAATAAAACTGGGGTTGTTACTTAAGATAAATGGCATAATGTGGTGGGGGCAAAAAATTTAAAATTTTAATTTTAAGATTTAAAATAAAGTGTTTAAGCGTTTTTCATGAAAATTCTTTCTCCTCGAATAACAAATTTTATTCCATAAGTGGGAACCACATTGTATATTTTTTTTTAGTTCTTGTTGCTTTTGTCTTGGTACTCATTTTGCTAGTGCTCTTTGTATTGTTTTTTTTTCTAGTGGATGTATTTACGCGGAAATAACCGTTAAAAAGGTTATTGTTGCAAATTTGCGTGTTAGGTCATCTAATTAATTATGAGTACTTATCGGTTTTTGCAGATGATGGCACCTTTCACTTTTGGTAAGCCTTTTGGTTGTTTATCCCGTAAGGTGATTCATATTGGCCTGTGGTTAGTCCGCCAAGTATGCTGTCACTTATCACTTAATTAATTATTTACTGTATTTTCACTAGTTGGGAGGTGCCTTGTTAATGCCCTATTTGAGTAATTTATTGTTTCTATTAAGACTTCGGGGTACAGATACAGTGATTTCACCTAAACAGATAATGCATCTTGGCACTAATTTAGCACAGTATTTTCCTTGAACTACACTGTATGAGCGATTTGTATGCTTCTTTTAGACTTTAAGAGCGTTCCAGTGCGTTCGAGTGCACGTCTGTATTGGTATTAGTGCATTTTTATTACAGTAAATTTTACAAAAAATAACTTTAAATAAAAATCTTACCTTCTGCTGTCAAAAACAGATTCCATGGAACCAGTTTCACTTTGGAACTAAACAAATATTATGTATTATAATTATTTAGATAAACTTATATTTCCTACTTACCACATCTATGTTATAAACTGCCAATAGTAAATAAAAACCACCAAGTACCAAGTTTAATATTAAAAATCCATAACCTCTTATAGCGATTATAGTTGTTGTTTGATAAGTTTCCAATATTATTTTTGAATTCGCGATGACCTAAAAAATAATTTTTTTAATTAGACACATGGATTGTAGCATATACTTGTGCTAGTTTTTTGCTTAAACTAATATTATATAGTAATAATTAAATAATTAATTTATTGTAAGAAGATAAAATGTCCTCATCCCTTAATAAGTTAGAAAGAACAAATTGATATTTTCACTAGTAATACCACTAGAGGTCAAATTATTTCCGGAAATTTTTTCGAGCTCATGAATATTTTGAAAATTATCCCGAGTCGAAGACGAGGGATAATTTTCTAAAAATATTCATGAGGGAGAAAAAATTTCCGGATTTAATTTGACCTCGTGTGGTATTCGGTAAGAAAATTCCACACCAAATTGTGTTTAAATAATTAATAGTATATTACACTACAAGGGCAGAAAGTGTGAGATTCCTGCACTGCGCGCCATGATGCCCGAGGCGAAGCCGAGGGCATCATGGCGCGCAGTTCAGGGCTCTCACACTTTCTGCCCGTGTAGTGTATACTATTTTTCTTGCTACCTACCCCGCAGAAAATACGCGAAAAAATTAAATGTATATAAAAAAACTTGTGTCAAAATTAAAATCTGACGTTTAATTTAATTCTGACGTTTACATTCAAAATCAATCAAACTGTAGCGTTGTCATGGTAATTCAGCGGTGCCAATACAGTAAAAATAAAAGGTTGTATTTTAATTAACAAATTACTACTTTATAACAAATAAAAGTACCATTCAACACTTAAAACAACATAAAAAGTAAAAAAGTAAAAACATAAATTGTTTATTTGTTGTTATAATTGCAAAATTATGGTTTAAAACTGTCATATTTTTGTGTTTCTCATGTTGGCAGTACGAAATTTGAATGTTAAGCACACGACTAAAAAATTTTTACTCCCGCTATTAGAGTGTGCGCGTATAGCTTGACCAATGCAAAAAACGTAAACTTTCTGCCGTGAAATCGGGGACGAAACAACGTATTTTGAGTCGAGGTAGTAAGAAAAATTTATTTTTTGATTTAACTTGACCTCGACTTGATTATTTAGTTACCATGGTAACTAAGTCAACCCCAACCTAAAAGTTATTTCAGTTTTAAAGCTGTCAAGCGGCACGACGTAAAAAAATGTGAAATTGTCTGCTGTAATGATCAATCATCGTGCAATGACTTATTTACCCGCATTATTAGAGGATTGTGGCTCCTACTTGAAGAAAGAAAATTTGTTTTGAATTGTTCACGAATATTTGCATCTTAACTATTCAAAACTCAAAGTGCTAAATGGAAAAAAAGGTGAATAGAATAGTGTCTAAATATTATATATATTTCATTAGACATAGACATTTAATTTATTTTAAGTCCTGCATTTTCGCCATTAAGAAGAAAGGAGGTGTCCAACGAATATAGAAAACATCTAAACTTTGTAATGGAAATGTATCAAAATTATTATGGAAACAAATAAAAACCAGATTGTCAAAAAAATATTCTGTCATTATAAACGTCAAAAAATTTCCAGTATAATTCGCTGTTGGGTACCCACGAGGAAAAAATTTCCACTAAAATTCAACCGTTGCCATGGTGATCTATCAAAAATACACGTTTTGATTGGTTAAAAATTACAGGTGTGGAATTTTCATAATAATACTAGTTTAAACTTCATAGAGAAATGAAGTTAAAATGGCATCATTTCAGTTGGACCTAGACTATAAATGATGTTTTAATATCTCAAAAAATATTCTAAATAAATCCTTAAAAAAATAGTGCATAAAACCCGTTTCGCCGCGGCGGCGAAACCTTAATTAATTCATTGCCTCGCACTAAATTTACTGCCTCGCCTCGGCAGTGAAATGTATGCTCGGCTATAATATGTGCTTTCTCCGACTGGTCTATAATGTACTATTTTAATTGCATTAATAATTAATTGTAAATTATTTTATTATTTACCGAACAGCAGGACATGGTGAGGAATTCACTCTTTTTTTGTGCTATCCTGATCCTCTAACTTTGCACAATTTTGCACATCTTATTTCAAATTTTGCACACCTCTACATCCATCCCCACGGCATCCCAAAAAACTACTTACTAGCCCCCCACTGACAAAATCCACTTGGTATGCTTTCTCTATTAATTGCAAGGAAGAAGTACACAAATCCATTATGTAGTACGAAAACTGACGGACAAATCTTTTGTGTAAGATGTTCGACACTGGAACAAGCTTCAGTCGAAAACTGGCGAGGTCTAACTAATCCTAACGTCCTAGAACTTCTTATCTGGAACCTCACTCCGAACGGACTACTCCAGCTTAAGAAATATAGTTCCTGTTCCTTTGCTGAAAAATTGCCACTTTATCGATTTACATATAAAATGCGGGCTTTTATTCTTGGACTATTCTCGACAACTCCCCATCTCTGTGAAATATTTAAATTAAATGTGAAAACAAAGATAGGAAATCTCATACCGCAGCTAGATTTTAATGCTTGCGTTGCTGAAGAAACTCGTGTTCAAATTGTGGATTAATAAACAATATCATCTAAAAATCTACTTTGGAAGTTGTTATAGAATTCGCGCAGGAACTTCCACAAAAAATTGCTGATATTGCTCAGTCCAGACAATGTAGTACGTGTTATGCCACATGTCAAGGTTTTCAGAATTTGAAACCGAAAATAAGTTTAACATCGAACCTTTAAATCCCAAATAAGTTTTTACTTTGGAAAGTACGTTAGAAACAAAATAAATTAACAGTGTGCAACGAGACGTACGTATTGCGAGGATTAATTGGTTATATTGGACCTAACGTTGGGAGATCTATGACGAAACCAAAACTAAAAGCGAGTCATGTTCTGGTAAGCAAATGGTAAATTTGTTGTCAAAATTTGTTTTATACGTCCCAATATTAGTAGTTGAATACTTGTTTTGTTTCCACATTTTTTTTGTATTTCTCTGTATTGTACTAGTATTTAAAAAAAAAATGGCTGGCCTTTAAATACTTTTCCTTCTTTTAATTATGGTTTCCAAATTTGTGCAAATAGATGACAAGGTATACCTAACAGAATTTTGGCAGTGGCGAGGAGATGGATGGAGGGGTGTGCAAAATTTGAAATGAGGTGTGCAAAATTGTGCAAAATTAGAGGATCAGGATAGCACAAAAAAAGTGAATTTGGAAGAAATTTTTGACACCGTGAGGAATGAAGTGGGGGTGTGCAAAATTTGAAATGAGGTGTGGAAAATTGTGCAAAATTAGGAGATTATGATGACGAAAAGTAGAGTTTGTCGGAGCAAAGGAGGGGAGGGCAAGCGTCAAGTTTGCCCCCCCCCACAAGATTTTTCTTGCCATTTCCAAAGCGGTTGTGTGCAAAATTTAAGAAGGGGTGTGCAAAATTTTGCAAAATGTGTGCAAATTTATGGTTATAGTAGAGGGGGTTTGCATGATTGGGGGGTCCAACTTGACTGACCCTAATAAAATGTATTGTGAATTATTATCATCGTAGATTTCAGAAACAAACTGTGCAACGAAGAATTTTTTTCAAAATTTCAAGTTTTGTCTAGAACGGAGGTGTCTCCAAAACACCTTCGTGACAAAAATGTTTTATTTAATTATTTGCATGCAAAATCAA